GGGGGTGAGTGGATTTACCAGAGACAGAGTGGGGAGCAGAACAGGTAGGTCTACTGAAATACACTGCTGAGGGGAGCAGCGGGTAAGACAGGAGACACCTGCTGTGCCATGTGGATCAGCTTCCTGACCAATGGTTGAACTCAGGCCATTGTGTTGAGAGCACTGAGACTTAACTTTTAGGCTGTTAGTGAGGCCCTAAGATATTTTTAAGAAAATTGTTATTTTAGATATCATAGGTAAGTTAATTTTCATTATATTGGGTATTTTGTAGGAAATTTTAGCAAAAAAATATGGTTTCTTATGAAAGAACACAATGACTTTTGATATGTTACCTGCTCTGTTTTCACTGAGTTGAACAACTATTTATTAGTTATGCAACCTGGAACAACTTTAAAATATAAGCTAAAACGATGGTTTTATATTTATTTCAAATTAGTAAAGATGCAGAGTTACTCTGGCGTTTGGCACGGGCATCACGTGATTTAGCTCAGCTTTGTGGAACCTCAGAAGAGGAAAAAAAGCTGTTGGTGTATGAAGCTCTAGAATATGCAAAAAGAGCACTAGAAAAAAATGAATCAAGTTTTGCAGCTCATAAGGTAAGTTAATGTAACTAAGCTGTTTTCATACACTGAAAGCTACATTGGTTTATGCACACCTAAGTTGTTCTATTTAAAAATAGGAATGATATTTTCATAAATAAAGGTATTTATAAATTATCTTACAAATAATATTTATAAAATATACTTTTTAAATTTTTGTAAGTTTTTTTCATTCTTTGACATAGCTTCATTAATTCATTTAATAAATTACTTTTGTGATGATGCCCATTTATACAAATTTGTTAGTAGTTTTATTCACTAGTTGTATCTTTATCCCTGTAGGGTAATCACTTGACAAACATTTTCTCAATTTTCTCATATAATATTTGTTTCATGTAACTGCAAATTTCTCTATTTGCTAACCAGTTTAGTGTTTTTCAACGAACAGTGTGTGAAGATTAGGGGATGTTATGTATAGTTTGTATTGGGATACTACTTTATCATGTTGGATTGTTCTCACTAGAGCCCCCAAGTCTTGTGACAATCTGACTTCATCCTTTCACAATTCCAAATTCTCCCTTTAGAGGTCCCATCCTTCCCCCTGCCACCAGTAGAACTACTACTACTACTTGCCTATAAAGGTAAAACAAATTAAAAATCCGTTTTATTTGGGACTTGGTCTTTGGCTCATCTTTGTAAATTTTCTCTGTGCACATGAAAACAGTGTTCAACTATTGTTGCATGTATTATAAATATCATTCAGGTCATATTGGATGGTGTTATTCAAATCTGTATCCTTACTGGTTTTCTGTCTGCTTGCTTGTTCTGTATATTATTGAGAAGTGGGTGTTGAAATCTTCAAGTATAACTGCAGATTTGCCTGTTCTTCTGCTGTTTTATAGTTATTACTGCTAATGTATCTTAAGAGGTTGTTAGTAGGATCTAAACATTTAGGTGGTTTTCTTGATGCTTGACCTCTTTATTGGTGTAAAAAGATCCACTCTATCTCTACATATTCTTGGTTTGACAATATACTTTACGTGATACTAATGTAGTCCCTCTTACTTCTTTATGATTAATATTAGTATGGTCTTTCCTGTCCATTTTCTTGTATTTTGTGTCTTTATATTTAACATGTATGTTTATGAAGGTGGTGGGTCTTGCTTTTAATTTTTATTTTTTATATATCCTCTTATATAAAATTCACTGTTGTAAAAAGTTGTATATACTTCAGTGGTGGTTAGCATGTAATATGTTGTACATTCATTAACTATGACTAATTCCAGAATGCTTCTATTACTCCAAAAAAATAACCCTTATTAATTAGCCCATTACATGATCATCTTGTCTCTAGGAATTTGTCTGGACACTTTATATAAATTGAATCATACACTATATAACATTTGCATGTTTGATTTCTTTGACTTAATATTTTAAAAGTTCATCAGTGCAGATCATATGACAATTGGCTGCATTTACATTACAGTGTATGGATATAGCACTTTCATTGATTTGGCAAGTGATGGACATTTGGGTTGGTTTCCCTTTTGACTGTTAGTCATGCTGCTATAATTGCGAATGTTTTTTGTGACTATCTGCTATCAGTTGTCTTTTTCATTGATGTAAATTTACATAAGATCATTTTACCATGTACAGTCTAATGGCATTTAGTATACTTAGATTGTTGTACGACTGCTGCTTCTACCTAGTTCCCATCTTTACTACCCGAAAAGGAAACTTCATGCCCTTGAATAGTCCCTCCCTGTCCCTTACTCTTAGTCCATGGTAGCCACTAATCTGAGTTCTGTCTCTGACTTTTCATATAAGTGAAATCATACATTTGTGCCTGACATCTTTTACTTTACAGATTTTTGAGATCCAGCAATTTTATAATTTGTTGGTACTTTACACCTTTTAATAGCTGAGTAGTATCACATTGTATAGACATTTTGTTTCTCCGGTCACATTTGAATTATTTCTACCTTTTGCTATTTATAATGTAGCTTTCAGTATTTTTTATGTTATAAGTATTTGTTTAAAAACCTTTTCAATATTTCTTATTAAGTATGTAGAAGAATTGCTAGGTCATACGGTAATTCTATGTAATTCTTTTCTGAGGAACTGTCAAATTGTTTCCAAGGGAGCTATAGCTTTTCACATTGCAGTGTATGAGGGTTCTAATTCTACATTCCTTGTCAGCATTTGTTTAGTGTAAAAATTACAGTTATCCTAGTGGATATGAAATGGTATTTTATGGTTTTGATGTGCATTTTCCCAATAATACTGTTCAACATTCGTACGGAACTTTCAGGTATTTATAGTTCCTGGGAGGAATTTGTATTTAAATTATTTACTCATTTTATAATTTTGCTTTCTTTTTATTATTGAGTTATAAGAGTGCATATTCTGGATACTAGCTCCTTGTTAGGTAATAGGCAAATACTTACTCATTGTGGATTCTCTTTCATTTTATTGATAATGCTCTTTGATGCAAGAGATCTTAATTTTGATGATGCCCACTGTATTTTTTCTTTTGATTGCTTAACTTTTGGTTTCAGCTTAAAAGCTTGCCAATTCAATATTCTTATGTAGAGTTTTTTTACCTATATTTCTGTCTTAGAATTATATATATATATATATATTTTCCCTCTTACATTCTTAATCCATTTGGAATTAAATTTTATACATTATACATATGTGATTATCGGCACAAATTCATTTTTTGCATATATATCCAGTTGTCCTAGTACCTGTTGTTGAAAAGACTATTCTTGGCATCCTTGACAAAAATCAATGGAACATAAATGTGTAAGTTTGATTTTGTATCCTCACTTTTATTCCATTGGGCTGTGTATTCTTATACCATATTATAATATCTTATTTACTATAGCTTTTTAGTAAGTCTGAAAGAAAGTGTATTTTCCAAATTGTTCTACTTTTCCAAGATTGTTTTGACTATTGAGTCCTTAGAATTTCCATAGAAATTTATGGTCCACTGTTCACTTCTGTGAAAAAAATCAGTGGGGATTTTGGTAAGGTTTTTGACTGTGTAGATTAATTTAGTAAATTAAACTTAGTAAAATTCCCATTTTACTAAAGATTTTATTTATTTACGCAAACAAGAGCTGGAGTGCAGGCCAGAGGAAGAGGAGTAAGAGGATTCACCAGAGACAGAGTGGGGAACAGAACAGGAAGATTGACTGAAATATACTACTGAGGGGGAGAAATGTACAAGACAGGAAAGGTCTGCTGTTACATGTGGGTTATCTCCCAAGTATTTTGTTCTTTTTGATGCTATAGTAAATGGAGTCTGCTGTTACATGTGGGTTAGCTCCCAAGTATTTTGTTCTTTTTGATGCTAT